TTGTCAAATTCTACATCTGGTCATTGAAAGGTTACGGCCAGGTTTTATTTTCTCTTTCCAGAAAGTCAAGGATTACTTTTAAAGTAGGAAATATGCCAGATATTAAAGCACCAGTGAAAAATAACAATATGTACACTTTCATACTTTTTGCTTGAACAATCAGGCAACTTGAATCGTAAGTCTGTGCAAACAACAACTATAGTCTGACAAGAGCAGACGAAATAAGACAAAGATTGTTTTTAAATGTTTGCCTTAACAGCTGATGCCAACACAACACAGCCTTCAAGAACATTCTGTACAACACCAACATGATCACATGACATGTGTAAGCCTGGCTAACAGGCAGCATTATGACATCGAGCAGCACATGTGATAAATAAACAAATCATGGGGAATGAATAAATCAAACTAGAGAATGTGTGTAGATTTTCACTGGTCAGTTCAATACAAACTAACATATGAATATGTCTGAGCCTTTCATTGACGGAGATGACTGACTGACTTTCTACCCCACCAGGACATCACACAAGCGATAAACACCCGATGACACAATGTGCCACCATGTGGATGAGGATCACCCGTGGAGAGGTCCCAGAAACCGCGTTTAGCCATTAGGTCATATTTATGGTCGGGCTATATTGCGGCCCCTGGCAAGAGCCAGAGTAGGGCTTCAAATAATGACAAATTTCATCCTAAAAAGGACGGGAAGTATGGCGGAGATAAATGAAAATGATACCAGCTTGATTGCACTCAGATGTCATCTTTCACTGGCGACAAAAAAATATAATATTAAAAGATATAGTGGCCAATAAACAAAGCCATGGATACCCAGAAGCATTGAAAAGGATATCCTTAATTAAATTATGACTTTTGTTTTTGGTGACATTAAACACGGTCATGTATAGTCATTCTTTGAGGGGGGCGGGGGGGGGGGGGGGGGGGGTAACTTTTAAACTGCCATAAATGTAGTCAGCTTAATGGAGAGGGGGGAAAAGGGAAAAAGGAGGGGGGGGGGGGAAATATTAGAAGGTCAGTTTGTCAGTGGAAAAATGATCATTTCCTAGACCTGAGTGCATATTTAGAACTAGTTTCAAGAAAATGGAAACTACAAGCACTGGCTGATAAGTAGCACATTGCATGACCACAATAACAATTGTCAACTCAAAGGGCAAATTAAAATTTTTATCAGCCGTGAATGAATTGAAAAAAAAATTATAATCGGCACAGTGAAACACACATTATCCCTTACAATGGATGAATGAATAATAATAAATTAACATAGATTAGTAATACATTACAGTTGTCATGGGAACTAAATAACAATTCTAAACATTGTGAGTGACTAAAAACAACGACAGTTTAAAAAAATTTTTATGAATGCATGAAATAAAACTTGTACTTCGATGCTTGAAGAAAAAAATATGGACACTATTAACAAAGAAAAAACTAAAATGTAAAATTAGATAGCTCGGAAATATTGTAACTACCAGTTAATAATCAAAGATTTTATGTTGTGGACCAACTATTAACAATTATAACAACCATTAGAGTATCAAACTCTTTACCTCTTACATTGAAAAAATTATACACCATTTAAGTGAATTGAAAAATATACACTGTACAGATAAACGAACATATAAACTTAGTGGGTTGCCGCAAACCCAAAACTGATTGATGTAATTGTATTAACATGTTTTATCTGGAAAAAGACAACGATATTCAACACAGAATATTTCTGTACACTATCTACAATGTGCAATCTGACATGATTTGATTTGATTCAAGAACCGACATCACAGCACTCGAGCCATTCCCTTAAGCGTTACGTCCCCATCTTCGGCAGCCAGCGAAGAGTTCAGATACTAATGGTGCCAGTAGCATTCTGGTTAAACATCCGTCTTGCCTCACGTCTGAGCCTCGAGTATCTGCCAGAACCTCTCGTCACCCCCTGCATCAATCTCACCAGACTGTGGTGATCCATCTGCTCCTCCGAACTGTACAAGCTCTCCCACAAGACCCTAACCACGTCTGCCTTATCATGCATTAGTATTCCACCAAGCTGTGCAGAGCCAGCCAGTCTGTCCGCATGTTCATTTCCCAACACACCGGCATAGCCTGGTGAAAAATTCCAGACAATACTCCTCACCCGTGTCTTCCGCAGCGAGGCATGCCACTCTGCACGAAGCATGCCAGTCCTGATCTTCCTCAGCATGCTTTCTGAGTCAGTTACAATCACAATGTGTGTGTGTGTTGTGTTCTCTAGCCAGCGGAAAGCTGCAGTGACCGCCTCCAGCTCCATTCTTAAGCTGGATTTTGTTGTATCACATGCTAGGCTCTCCTGCACCAAAGGTCGACCAATAACTTTTGCTAAGAAACCCCAAGCACTTCTTTTGCCTCTTGACACTGAACCGTCTGTGTAAACAATCAAATCTTCTGAGCGAGCGTTATCTTGAATTAACTGCTGAATTTGCACCTCTGTGGCACCTGCTGGCCAGTCTCTGCATTCCCGGCTCAGTGTGATTACGACCCTACTCAAGTCTGATTGTGGCACTTTGACCCACTCCTCTGAAATGAAAATAAGGAGCTAAAACACAATCATCATTGGTCGCTCCTCCAGTTGTGAAGATCGTACACAGGACACAACCTCTTGTTCTTGTGTGTTTGTGTGTCTGATTGTGTGTGCGTGCGTGTGTATGTTGGTGCGTGCGTGCAATCTGTATTGACATGAACAGCATTATGGGGTCTCCGCACACTCTCACTCATGGAGTCTCCTCCCACCTCCACTCATGGGGTCTCCTAACACCTCCACTCCTGGGATCTCCTCACACCTTCATTCATGGGGGTCTTCTCACACACGGGGTGTTCTCACACACTCACACATGGGAGTCTCCTCACACCCCCCACTTATGGGGTCTCCTTACACACTCACACATGGGGGTCTACTCACACACTGGGGTCTCCTTACACCTCAGCTGCTGAAGAGGACCATTTATTTGTGAAAGCCTGTATATGTGAAGTTTGGTCACTTGGTCTAGTCGTGTTAAATATGATCATGCTATGTTGTGATACGGGAGCCACCGTGGAGTAGCGGCTAGACACTTCGCCTGTCGGCTTAAAGCTTGTAAATTCAAACTAGCCGGGTGTTTTTACTTTAATAACTTTAGCACCAAGGTCGACCCAGCCTAAAATGGGTATCAGGTAAAGTCCTGGAAAGTAAAGGAGGCCAGCATGGGGTTGACCACATCACCCAGCAAGTGCCGACCGATCTATAGAATATATATATATATACATGTTCAGCCCTGTGTGCCCAGTAGACCTAGAGACGTGGATCGGAGTCTTGTACATGTTGTGATAACCAGTGAAACATGACCAGTCAACAAATACTGACATGCCAACATTATAATTAGGCAAACAATTGTGACATTTTCTCCTCATAGTGTCAGTAAAAGTACACGTTTTCAGGTCATGAAATACTGACATTCTTTACGCCATAATGTGCCAGCAGAATATTCAAAAAATAAAGTGTCAAAATACTGACACCTTGACGTCATGATATGCCAGTAAATACTGACATCTGCATGTCAGGTTGTGATGCAAATACTGACATCTGCATGTCAGGTTGTGATGCAAATACTGACATCTGCATGTCAGGTTGTGATACACATACTGACATTTACAAGAAGCATAAACAATGCAGACGTTGCCCAGTGATGACATACTAACAAATACTGATATCAAAGTCTTGAAGACAAAAGGTGAAAGTATGAATATATGACAATGCCAACATTAGAGTAGTAAATATAAATACTGACGAATGACTACTGTAAGCTCCCCTCCGGCTTGTGTCATGCTCCGCTGTGTTCAGCATCAGTGCTCTGTGGCACCAAACACTTGCAGAATTCCGTGGTGAAGGCTGCAAGACAGAACATAGACATATTCAACGATTCCATCTTAGAAAATAATCATGTCAGTATTACATAACACTGGGACCTGGGGTGGTGGAGCGGCTAGACGCCAGTCTGTCCGCCCCGGATGTCAGGAGGTCAAATTCTTTAAACATTGACCTTGACCTCAAGGTCAACACAGCCAAACTGGAAGTAAAGTTGACCACATCACACATCGACTGCCGAAAAGTTGACCACATCACACACCGACTGCCGAAAAGTTGACCACATCATACATCGACTGCCGACAAGTTGATCACACCACACATCGACTGCCGAAAAGTTGATCACATCACAAATCGACTGCGGAAAAGTTGACCAAATTACACATCGACTGCCGAAAAGTTGACCACATCACACACTGACTGCCGATTGGTCTATAAAAATACAGGTCCTGTCTTTGATATTTGATTCCGGAAAATGCTCTCAGTAAACCAACTTGGACATAACTTCTCTTATGATGTTCTCGGTAACTCACATGGCACACAACTTCTCTCATGGGACTCTTGGTAACCCACCTAGTACATAACTTGTCTTATGGGGCTCTCTGTAACCCACCTGGGACATAACTTCTCTTATGATGCTCTTTGTAACCCATCTGGGACATACCTTATGATGCTCTCGATAACCCACCTGGGACATAACTTTTCTTATGATGCTCTCGATAACCCACCTGGGACATAACTTCTCTTATGATGCTCTCTGTAACCCATCTGGGACATACCTTATGATGCTCTCGATAACCCACCTAGGGCATAACTTCTCTTATGATGCTCTCGATAACCCATCTGGGACATACCTTATGATGCTCTCGATAACCCACCTGGGACATAACTTCTCTTATGATGCTGCCGGTAACCCACCTAGGACATAACTTCTCTTATGGTAATCTTGTTAACCCACCTAGGACATAACTTCTCTCGGTAACCCACCTGGGATATTTGTATCTAACTTCAGCCATCAGTGAGTCGTTTGAATCATTCTGACTAACCAGACCATGTTGCGTGCACAACCGTTCGCCATTGTGGGCTGGGGAATAACTGAGAAACAACCCACCTGACTTGAAAACTGGGCTGGTCGATGACTTGTGCCTCCCCATCCAAGTTCATGTAGAACACCTCCCCGCGGTTCGAGTCCTGGCCCTGCGACTCCAGCGTCGGCAGGTGAACTCTGTACTTCAACACTCGCTCCACTTGGATGAAGTCGTAGTTGTACTGGTAGAAACAAGTCAACGCTTAGCCATTGACATTTTATTCTTTCTTTCTTTCGTACTCAGTTTATTTATTTTTCTCCATTTTCCCTCTCGTTTTCCTTCTTTTCCTTTCCTAATTTTTTCAGCTCTCTCTCTCTCTCTCTCTCTCTCTCTCTCTCACTCTCTCTCCCCTTGTTTCTCACACACACACACAAACACAACTGACACACTGTTTACATTTTTCTAATATTCTGTGTTTGTCTCTCTCTCTCTCTCTCTCTCTCTCTCTCTCTCTCTCTCTCTCTCTCTCTCTCTCTCGCTCTCTCTCTCTCTCTCTCTCTCTTTCTTTCTCTACACATGTATTTGTCTGACTAATTATAATGTATTCTCTAATCGTTATTCCCACTTTTCTCTGTTTTCTTTTCTTAGTTTCTCTCTCCCTGGTGTATGACCTAAACGTCAACACAACCGACCTGAGTGTTAGAACTCAGTCTTTCACCGGACTCACCACTCCACCCACACAGGAAACCTCCCGCCCTCTCTACTTTAACAAAATCAACCCCCTACCTTACACAGATACAATGCCTGAGTGTTACCGTTAAACCACGAATATCACTCCGGTAACAGTATCAACAACAAAGAGAAGGATCTGAACTCTAGACATGCATACTTACGGCACCAGCAGTGAAATCGGCCACCTTAGACAGCTGCTTTATGTGGTCACTGAGAGAGCAGGCGGAGGTCATGTGTAGGTTCAAGGCCGAATCTGCAAAGACCGGCACCAGTTTGGAGTCCTTGTCCACAAGGTCGCACACGTTTGTGTCCACTATATAGAAAGCTCCTTTCGACGACTGCCATTCGCCTGTGCTTTCTTTCAAGAATTCAACTTCTGCGTCGATGAGTCTTCGTCGAAAGATGGTGCGAACCGGTAGAACTTGAAAAGAGAATGAGGTCACTTCATGAGAAAAGAATAAAGGGTAGACAAGTTCGGAAACAAGAATTTGCAAGATAGTGCAACGTGGTTGATTTTGGGGCAACTGCTAGGAAGTTAGTGGCAATTTCTATTTAAGCATGGACATAAGTAAAGTGGCTCCTAAACCCATGTCCCTTTGTTTGAACAGCCTCAACAAATTGTGACGGAGCAGGCTTATCTGTCACTGTATTGCTATCTTGCTCCGGTAACCATACCACACATCTCATTGGAAAAAATCGTCTCCATTATAGTTGATGCAATCTTTGCCCAATAGGTAGTAATATACAGAATTATCCCCCTTTATATAGATGTGAATAAGTGGGGCGGGGGGGGGGGGAGGGGGGGGGGGGACCTAACATTTGCTTCCATTGCATGTGTCCCTCCTGGAGATTAACATTATAGGAGTTTCTGTCTGTAACGCAGCATAGTTGTTATTTTGTTTCTTATTAAAGACATTGTTCAAGGCGTTCACTAACGTCCACTCGTTGCCTGTTTATATTTCATAAGAGAATCTGTTGTGAGTGTGTGTGTGAAAATTTGTGTGTGTAATGTATATGTGTATGTATCAAACTACTTATCTACTTTAAGGACTCTTTATCTGTCAGTCAAGCGTGCCTTCCATTGATGTGTGAGTCTAAATTATGCGTCATGTTTTTTTCTGTGTGACGCTCTGCATCTCTAATTTCTGATTGCTTACTTTTGTAGCGCAGGTTTCCCAGCCAGCGGTGCTGCTCACAAGCCCTGATCATCTCGCCGATGAGTCCGAAAGAGGTCAGGAGGTGGGAAATGCCCTCCAGTTTGTTTCCTTGGTGGACACTGACCACGTTCACAGGCCTGGTTTGTGCTGTAGGAAACAGAAATGTCATTTTGTGATTTAAGCGTCACAGTGGGGACAGACGAACGTCACAGTGGGAACAGACGAACGTCACAGTGGGGACAGACGAACGTTACAGTGGGGACAGGCGAACGTTACAGTGGGGACAGACGAACGTCACAGTGGGGACAGGCGAACGTTACAGTGGGGACAGACGAACGTCACAGTGGGGACAGACGAACGTCACAGTGGGGACAGTCGAACGTCACAGTGGGGACAGACGAACGTCACAGTGGGGACAGACGAACGTCACAGTGGGGACAGACGAACGTTTGAATCGCTGAACGTGGGAGAGAGTACTTAAGGTAACAATAAATATCACTCAGATGTGTCGCAGGGTAAGTGAGAACATCACGCAAAGGTCAATGGGGTCAATACGAACAATGGTTGACATGGAACCGAGTCATTAGAAACACCCAGTCCATCTGGGAAAGAATAAATAGAAATAACAGTCAGTGGTCAACAGAGCAAATAGAAGGATCAGTCAATATACATAAATAAAAATATCGCTCAATGTACAATACAAAGTAGAAACCAGTCAATGTAGAAAATGCGCGCGCGCGCGCACACACACACACACACACGAACACAAAGAAACAGGTCAGTGTAAAATAATTAAATAAAATCTATGCCCAATCAACCGTGCATTCGAAAGCGCAACCACTATCATCCTCACAATTGATTGCCATGCCGTCATTTCAAATTCATTGTTTCATTTCAACTCTCTAATGGTATTCCTTAAGGCTCACCAGATTGACTGGTTGCTGTAGTTTATCACCTCTGAGAATTTTGAATCTCTGCTTAAGTTAAATCAAATACCTAGGTTCGAATCCTGCCCCGGTCTTGAGGATCACGTCCAGTGGATCCTTTAAAAAGCCTAGGTGTAGTTTTATGCCTAAAACCGTTGTCTCCCACACTGCTGTCTCCCCCACTGCTGTCTCCCACACAGCTGTCTCCCACACTGCTGTCTCCCACACTGCTGTCTCCCACACTGCTGTCTCCCACAGTGATGTCTCCCACACTGCTGTCTCCCACACAGCTGTCGCCCACACTGCTGTCTCCCACACTGCTGTCTCCCACACTGCACTGCTGTCGCACACACTGTTGTCTCCCACACTGCTGTCGCCCACACTGTTGTCTCCCACACTGCTGTCTCCCACACTGCTGTCGCCCACACTGCTGTCTCCCACACTGCTGTCTCCCACACTGCTGTCTCCCACACTGCTGTCTCCCACACTGCTGTCTCCCACACTGCTGTCTCCCACACTGCTGTAGCCCCCACTGCTGTCGCCCACACTGCTGTCGCTCACACTTCCATGGCAGTGCCGATTTTAATGGTAGCAAATTATCAGCTTTTGATATTGACCAGATAGGCTCATTGCCAAGAAAGTACCAGTGGCATGCACTCATCAGAGAGTCAACAAGATAACAAAGAAAGTAGAAGTGACATGCACTCGTGAAAGAGTAAAAAAAAAAAAAAAAAAGCTAAGAAAGTAGCAGTGACATGCACTCCTGAGAGAGTTAACAAGATAACCAAGAAATTACCAGTGGTATGCACTCGTGAAATAGTTAACAACATAACCAAGAAAGTACCAGTGGCATGCACTCATGAAAGAGTTAACAACATAACCGAGAAAGTAGTAGTGGCATGCACTCATGAAAGAGTTAACAACATAACCGAGAAAGTAGTAGTGGCATGCACTCATGAGAGAGTTAACAAGATAACTAAGAAAGTCTAAAAATACACATAACAAACAATAGGAACTCACATAAAACAATTTTGATGGCGGCAGTCACAACATCTGTGCAGCCATGGAGGTATCTGACAGCGTAGTTCCCGCTTCCGGCAGGAATAAAGCCCACCGGAAACGGAATCGGCGGCAATTTCACATCCGGGTCGTCGGCATTGAAGCCCTCCATTTGTTGCTGTCTGTGCACGATGGCTGTGAGCACCTCCGAGATAATGCCGTCTCCGCCGACGGCGATCACTCTGTGGACACAACAAACTATCTGCGTCAGGGAGCATGAGCGTACACCAATCTTGTCTTCTCTGAAGCAGACAACCACATAAATAACAATACATATATCATCATCATGTAGCAGGTTGTTTGTAGAACGTCGCTCTCATCACGATCTGCATGAAAGAAACTCGGTCTCTCGCCAGATCTTCCGCCTCATGTACTTTCAGACTCAAGGAATTACTTATATCATGTGCCCATCTTCGTGTTGGTCAGCCCCTGCCCCTCCTTCCTGGTACAATGCCTTCTGCTATACTTTTTTCAATCCGTCGTGGCGCTTGATATGACCAAAACATTTCAGCATCCGAGACAGGATGCTGTTTATTAGCCAATCCTCCTTGATGTTCAGATATGTCAAGATGTCAGTATTTCTTCTATTTTTCGTCCAAGATATTCTGAGAATCTTTCTATAGCATTTCAGCTCAAAAGCCCATATTCTATACATACATCACTTTTAAAAATTAAAAAAAATAAAATAATGGGTGAAATGTGTACACTGTTGTGTGGAAATATTACTTGATAAAGCTGCAGTCTCGTCAACGGTGTGACTCTCGTGCCACTGTATGATAGGCACCAGAATTGTGATTTATTCAACAGTCGATAGAGGGAATCGAACTCTGGACAACAAACAGTTTCAGAGACACAGCTGCACTAGCAACTATTCAATACAAGTTAAACAGACTGAGAAATATGAACAGGATAAAAAGACACCAAAACTGAAAAACGTTCGTGTATTTTGTGCAGCCAGTGTAAAACCTGAATGAACATTTCATGCATTGTGCTTTTGCGATTATTGTACAAGATATGATGAGACTATGGTCTATTTAGATGTACTTGTCTGCAACAACAATGACATTTGTCCATTAAACAAATATTACAGAAAATTTGATGTATAAAAAATGTGAACAGTGACCGACTTGGAATGTTTTTGTTTTTTTAATGAATTTAAAATGATTAAAGTTGAAATATTCTTTAGCCGCGTCTACTTACTAATTAAAAAAAAAAAAAAAACATCAAATCTATATCGGGTGTCTAATCTCTCAAATTCTGATGTTGATCAGAAATGTTCACACAGATTTGGCTCATTTCTAGCGCCAGGGGATTAGCGCAGACGTCACTGGTCCGACTCTACTATCTGCACAGACTCTGTAGCACGGATGTCATTGGTCAGGCTCTGCTATCTGCGCGGACTCTGTAGCACGGATGTCATTGGTTCGGCTCTACTATCTGCACGGACTCTGTAGCACGGATGTCATTGGTCCGGCTCTACTATCTGCACGGACTCTGTAGCACAGATGTCACTGGTCCGGCACTACTATCTGCACGGACTCTTTAGCACAGATGTCACTGGTCCGGCTCTGCTATCTGCAGGGACTCTGTAGCGCAGACGTCACTGGCCCGGCTCTACTATCTGCACGGACTCTGTAGCACGGATGTCATTGGTCCGGCTCTACTATCTGCACGGACTCTGTAGCACAGATGTCACTGGTCCGGCTCTACTATCTGCACGGACTCTGTAGCACGGATGTATGTGTCTTCAAAAGAGCACATTGGGGATATTTTCTAGCAATCTACAATAAAATTGTTTTGCTAAACGTACACATTTTTTAAAACTATGATTTAACTCACTACTGCATGCATTTACCATTTTAGGCAGCTTATGTGGGGGGGGGGGGGGGGGGGGGGGGGGCGGGTCTCGGGGTTTTTTTTTTTTATTTTTTTTTTTTTATTTTTTTTTTTTTTTTTTTTTTTTTTTTTTCTTTTTTTTTTTTTTTTTTTTATTTTTTTTTTTTTTTTTTTTTTTTTTTTCTGGGGTTAAATCTGGGGTAAAAAAATAAGCATGGCTAGTGTTGTTGCCCAGAAAAAAAAAAATAAGCATGGCTAGTGTTGTTGCCACAAACTGTACTGTTATTTCCAGGAAAATTGTACATAGTTTATAATCATGTGTATGTTCTATCAAATGTTGTATACTCTCTAAAAACTCCGGAATGTTCACATTTGACGTGTCCCACACGTGGTTCTAGCCGGAAGTAAACACCAGGCCATGGACATCGACGGCTGAAATCGTCAACATGATGCCGGTCGCCTTTACTTTCCAGAACTTTGCTAGTTGCCCTTTGAGAATGGGCCCGCCTGCAAGCCCTGGTCATTACAGATTCGAAATCAGACCTTCGGACCAGCAGGCGAACGGGTGGTTAAAGCGCTACCCCGCCTGCCAGACACATTAGGGACAGATCCAGTAAGCGACCACTTAGAAGAAAGATATCTAAATTACGGCATCAGAACCCAAAGCGAGAATTTGATATAAAACTGTTAACAGTTCAGTCCCCTGGGTATTAGGGTTCCCAAAGTAAAAATAAAACGATTTTCAAGAGACTTGCGGACTTTGTTGCAGGAGTGGCTAGATTTAATAGCTGTCACCTCCATGTCGAGGACATCTAGGTGATCATGGGAACCGAAGTGCAACGGTACTGGATTGAGGACACCGTTCTGCACATCCAAAAGATGTTGTCTGAACCTGTCAGCCAGTCGAAGACCCGTTTCACCGATGCATTTCCTGCCACACCTCTTGCAGTTGATGGCGTAAATGACACTGCAGCTCGTACAATAGAATGCTTCACATATGTGAAAGGTGGCTTTCGGGAATTCCAGACCTCTCCCCTGAACCACATATGGGCAAGTTATGCATAAGGTCTGTGGCAAGAGACCGTGCAGAGGTTACTGTCTGTCTGTACGCGACAAGAGGTGACTGTGACACTCGGTGACAGGTGACTGTGACACTCGGTGACAGGTGACTGAGTCTTTGGCAGACTTTTCTCTTTTACTTCTGACGCTGTTGCACTCCTTCTCAATGAAGGTGGTATCAAAAGTAGTTGTAGTAGTAGTGATAGTAATAGTGGTAGTAGTAGTGGTAGAAGCAGTAGAAGTAGTGGTAGTAGTAGTAGTAGCCATAGTGGCAGCAATAGTGGTAGCAGTAGTGGTAGTAGTAGTGGTAGCCATAGTGGTAGCAATAGTGGTAGCAATAGTGGTAGCAATAGTGGTAGCAATAGTGGTAGTCATAGTGGTAGCCATAGCAGTTGTGGAAAGACCAGAAGTAATGATAGTATTAGATTTAGAAGTAGTAATATCTTAGGATGTATTAGTAGTTACAATAAAGGGAGGAGCGAACTGTTGCCGTTGATGGAGAGGAGAAAAAGACTAAAAAGAAGAAGAAGAAGAAGAAAATGGGGGAGAAAGAGGAGGAGGAGAAGGAGGAGGAAGAAGAGAACAACGACAAGAAGAAGAACAAGGACAGGAAAAACAAGAACAAAAAGAACCAGAAGAAAGAAGAGGATGATTATGATGAGGAGGATGATGAGGAGAAGGGGAAGGAGGTTGTAGTAGGTGGGGTTGAGAGGAGGGGAAGGAGTTGGTGGTAAGTGTGATGGTGGGGAAGGAGGTTGTAGTAGGTGGGGTTGAGAGGAGGGGAAGGAAACGATGTCTATTTTTGAAGAACAAAAGCAGGGGAAGATGGCAGAGATAAAACTTAATCGATGGCGACTGAGTATGAAGAAACAATCATGCAACATACAACATACACATAGCAGGGTTTCAAGGTTATCTTCTGACATTACGTGTGCATTCAAGAGCAGGCAAAAATAGCAGAGCATTGTATTCAGTGGCACAACAGGCACTTGAATGACTGGGTAAACAAACATTGCACCGGTGAATCAAGTGAACTAGTCGACTGAGAAAAACTCCCAACAGAAACCGTATGATTCAGCAAGCTTGCCCTGTTAGGAATGTATGCTATGAGGGTGTGTGAGAGTGTGTGTGTGCGTGTGTGAGCATGTTGTCGCGTGAGTGTTGATAGGTAAGACATTCATAAAGTGTAGGCGTGTGTTGAATGTGTAGGCGTATTTATCTGGGCAAAGGTTAAAGTTCGCGTGAAGACGTTTATTGAGACAGAAACTGTCGTACAACTATGATGTCATAATGTGCCCAGAGATGCTCGGTCTCGCTTAGAAAGCATTCATTACAGAGTTTATAGAAGTGTATTGTTGGGTACAAAGTAATGGCAAACTACTGGACGAAAATTTGCCTAGAAAAACCACACAACGGCCAGGGGCTGTTAGGGTTGGTTCTGCAACGTCCTGTAAAGGATACGCAACTAACCTATTACTGGGTACATGCTTCTTATGGGAAGTAAAGGAGACCGGCGTGATGTTAACTTCATCGCCCACCGAGTGCTGATTGGTCTATAAAATATAGGTTTGGCCCTATATGCCCATAGGCCTGAAGGCATGAAAACTGATCCCTTAATTTTTGTCACATGTTTCACAGAGGTGAAAGCCCAAACATTGATTGGTGCAGTGTGGCGATATTTGTAATCCAGGACAAAGCGGTGTCTGGTCAATGATTGTTTGCTTATTGCTTGGTCAATGTTTGTTTGCTCATTGCTTGGTCAATGTTTGTTTGCTCATTGCTTGGTCAATGTTTGTTTGCTTATTGCTTGGTCAATGATTGTTTGCTTATTGCTTGGTCAATGTTTGTTTGCTCATTGCTTGGTCAATGTTTGTGTTCTTATTGCTTGGTCAATGTTTGTTTGCTCATTGCTTGGTCAATGTTTGTTTGCTCATTGCTTGGTCAATGTTTGTTTGCTTATTGCTTGGTCAATGATTGTTTGCTTATCGCTTGGTCAATGTTTGTTTGCTCATTGCTTGGTCAATGTTTGTTTGCTTATTGCTTGGTCAATGTTTGTTTGCTCATTGCTTGGTCAATGATTGTTTGCTTATTGCTTGGTCAATGTTTGTTTGCTCATTGCTTGGTCAATGTTTGTTTGCTTATTGCTTGGTCAATGATTGTTTGCTCATTGCTTGGTCAATGATTGTTTGCTTATTGCTTGGTCAATGATTGTGTGCTTATTGCTTGGTCAATGTTTGTTTGCTCATTGCTTGGTCAATGATTGTTTGCTTATTGCTTGGTCAATGTTTGTTTGCTCATTGCTTGGTCAATGATTGTTTGCTTATTGATTGGTCAATGATTGTTTGCTCATTGCTTGGTCAATGATTGTTTGCTTATTGCTTGGTCAATGATTGTGTGCTTATTGCTTGGTCAATGTTTGTTTGCTCATTGCTTGGTCAATGATTGTTTGCTTATTGCTTGGTCAATGTTTGTTTGCTCATTGCTTGGTCAATGATTGTTTGCTTATTGCTTGGTCAATGATTGTTTGCTTATTGCTTGGTCAATGATTGTTTGCTTATTGCTTGGTCAATGATTGTTTGCTTATTGCTTGGTCAATGATTGTTTGCTTATTGCTTGGTCAATGATTGTTTGCTTATTGCTAGGCTGGCTAATATTGTAGTCCTAGTAACGGTGGTAGTCGGGAGAATGGTGGAGTGGTAGTGTCATGGCACATTCGTGTTAGAGACGGTGTCGCGGCAGAGTTGAAGATATAGATATGGAGGTGATAGTGGTGGAACCGGTAGTAGTTCGAGGTGGTAGTGGTGGAGGTGGTAGTTGTGGATGTGGAGATACTAGGTACTGGCTTGAAACGAACAAAAGTTGGCCCCAGCAGCGAGAATTATTGTTAGTCGCCGATTGGCACACACTTATTTTGGTCAGAAGCAACAGCAGCAGCAACAACAACAGCAGCAGCATCAACAACAGTAGCAGCAACAACAACAGTAGCAGCATCAACAACAGTAGCAGCAACAACAACAGCAGCAGCATCAACAACAGTAGCAGCATCAACAACAGCAACAGCAACAACAACAGTAGAGGCATCAACAACAGTAGCAGCGACAACAACAGCAACAGCAGCAGCATCAACAACAGTAGCAGCAACAACAACAGTAGCAGCATCAACAATAGCAGCAGCAACAACAACAGCAGCAGCAACAACAACAGCAGCAGCATCAACAACAGTAGCAGCAACAACAACAGTAGCTGCAACAACAACAGTAGCAGCAACAACAACAGCAGCAGCATCAACAACAGTCGCAGCAACAACAACAGTAGCAGCATCAACAACAGTAGCAGCAACAACAACAGCAGCAGCATCAACAACAGTAGCAGCATCAACAACAGCAACAGCAACAACAACAGTAGAGGCATCAACAACAGTAGCAGCGACAACAACAGCAACAGCAGCAGCATCAACAACAGTAGCAGCAACAACAACAGTAGCAGCATCAACAATAGCAGCAGCAACAACAACAGCAGCAGCAACAACAACAGCAGCAGCATCAACAACAGTAGCAGCAACAACAACAGTAGCTGCAACAACAACAGCAGCAGCAACATCAACAGCAGCAGCAACAAAAACAGTAGCAGCAACAACAACAGCAGCAGCATCAACAAGCAGCAGCAGCATCAACAACAGCAGCAGCATCAACAACAGCAGCAGCATCAACAACAGTAGCAGCAACAACAACAGTAGCAGCAACAACAACAGCAGCAGCAACAACAACAGCAGCAGCATCAACAACAGTAGCAGCATCAACAACAGTAGCAGCAGCAGTAGTATTATTAATAGTAGTAGTAATAACAATAGTAGCCGCCGCAGCAGAAAAACAACAACAGCAGCAGCAACAACAACAGTAGCAGCAGCAACAACAACAGTAGCAGCACCAACAACAGTAGCAGCAACAACAACAGCAGCAGCAACAACAGTAGCAGCAGCAGTAGTAGTTTTTGGGTCCTGTCACAGCAGTAGGTATATGTGAAGAAGAAAAGGGTGCGAGAGGTGAGAGGGGGCTGACGTCGGCGAAGATGAAGAAATCGAAGAACAGGAGAGAGAGAGAGAGATAGAGAGAGAGAGAGAGAGAGAGAGAGAGAGAGAGAGAGAGATTTAAAGAAAGAAAGAAAGAAAGAAAGAAAGAAAGAAAGAAAGAAAGAAAGAAAGAAAGAAAGAAAGAAAGAAAGAAAGAAAGAAAGAAAGAAAGAAAGAAAGAAAGAAAGAAAGAAAGAAAGACACTAGTCATGTTTACGTTATCCTGGGAATGAATTACTTCACTAGACATGTTTACGTTATCCTGGGAAGGAATTACTTCACTAGACATGTTTACGTTATCCTGGGAATGGATTACTTCACTAGACATGTTTACGTTATCCTGGGAATGGATTACTTCACTAGACAAGTTTACGTGGACCTGGGAATGAATTACTTTCCTAGACATGTTTACATGGACCTGACAATGAATTACTTTACTAGACATGTTTACACGGACCTGGGAAGGAATTACTTTACTAGACATGTTTACGTGGACCTGGGAAGGAATTACTTCACTAGACATGTTTACGTTACCTGGGAAGGAATTACTTTACTAGACATGTTTACGTTACCTGGGAAGGAATTACTTTAATAGACATGTTTACGTTACCTGGGAAGGAATTACTTTACTAGACATGTTTACGTTACCTGGGAAGGAATTACTTCACTAGACATGTTTACGTTATCCTGGGAATGAATTACTTCACTAGATATGTTTAGGTCAACGTGTAAATGAATTTCTTTTACGACATGTTTAGGTCCAACATGGAAATGAATGACTGTTACGACATGTTTAAGAAGCAAATTTAGCTTCCGTTAGTGCGCAGTAATGTGCAAAAATGTAGAGAAATGGAGGCAGACTAGAAAGAACCGAATCGCTAATCCCACACCAACTACAGCTTCCACCTGTTGTCCGCACTGCTCCAGATCTGCCCAGGCTCATATTGAACTCACCAGCCACCTTCGTACACAAATTCGTTGATCATTTACTACTTTCAATGAAAAGTGGTCTCCATCACTCGCCAGTGATGGACGAACAACATGGCTGTTAACACCGCCTGTTCTTTGTTCTGTCACTTTCTTTTAAGGAGAAAACACATAAGTGAACGGAAGCCGAAGTAGAAGAGGACAAAGATGGATGTCGAAAAAAATCTACGGAGAAGTGATGATAATTGATGATGATGATGGTAATGATAAAGAAAAAATAGAAGAAGAAGCAAAAGAAGAAGCAAAAGAAGAAAGAGAAAAAGAAGCAGAAAAAGAAGAAGAAGAAGAAGAAGAAGAAGAAGAAGAAGAAGAAGAAGAAGAAGAGGTGAAGGGGTTGCAGACATATTGAGTAACTATTTGCCCATGCCTATGGTGTTTAATGGCGTTAGGTGACAAACATGGATATTTCCAATATGCAAACCCACAAATGGGCAAATTTACATATAATCAGTATTTGCGTGCGCGCGCGCCCGTGTATGTGTATGTGTGTGTGTGTGTGTGTGTGTGTGTGTGTTTGGCGGGCGAGGTGTTTAAAGTTAGCAAACATGGAATTGCTAAAAACGACACTATACTCATTAGTAATATTGACAAAAAAGTCCCGAGGCATTTCACTAGCATCCAGAATGGACACCTATTGTCGCCGGCGAGTCGGAAGGAGACCAGCGTGTCAGGTATTCAGTATTTGTGTTTCGCGTGCCACTAAAAATTGTTCAGAAGTTACAGACGGCCGGTTTCCTGCCTCTCAGGCGGATGCGTCATACTTTAAAAGGAAGCATCCCTAACGAGACGATTTGTACGACTTGATTGTCAAGATAGCAGTGCCTTCATTTTTATTATATCCACAAAGGGATTTAAGGTTATATAGTTGCGTTTTAAAAATTATACCTGCAATGGGATATGAGGCTATATAGTTATATTTGAGAATACCGCAATTTGATTTAAGGCTATATAGTTTTTTTTAGTATACCCAAAATGAGATATAATATTTTTTTTTTTTAGTACACTTAAACACTGTTATTTTTTTTAAAGTAAACCCACAATGGAATGTAACGTTACATTGTTATTTTTATTATACCCACAATGGGATGTAAGGTTACATTGTTATTTTTAGTATACTCATAATAGGATATAAGGTTACATTGTTATTTTTAGTATACCCACAAAGGAATGTAAGGTTATATTGTTATTTTTATTATACCCACAATGGGATGTAAGGTTACATTGTTATTTTTTATTATACCCACAATGGGATGTAAGGTTACATTGTTATTTTTAGTATACTCATAATGGGATATAAGGTTACATTGTTATTTTTAGTAAACCCACAAAGGAATGTAAGGTTATATTGTTATTTTTATTATACCCACAATGGGATGTAAGGTTACATTGTTATTTTTTATGATACCCACAATGGGATGTAACGTTACATTGTTATTTTTTAGTATACCAATAATGGGATGTAAGGTTATATTGTTATATTGTTATTTTTTAGTATACTCACAATGGGATGTAAGAATTCCGGGTTCCTGCACTGAACTGACGTTTTTCTGGTGTCATTTGGAGGGGAAAATGAACGGACAGACAGCACTCTAATGGGGGTGTGTGAGTGCGGTGAAGCTGTGTTAAGGGTTCTACAGGATCAATAATTCACGTGGCCGGTCCCAGTGGCTCATTTGCCTGTTTGTGACTACGTTCACGTCTGCTATTTCATCGGTTTTGTGGTTTCTCTGGCCACAGGTGGGCGGTGTCTCATTGTCTGTTCCACACTTGTCATGTGGGGGTGTAGGGGTGTGGGATTTGGGACCCTAATCCTGACTTTCGAAGCCAGATGTGTTGTCTTGATTAAGTTTTATTTGTGTTTGTGTATATCAGCCTTGCTCTATCGTCTCCGCCGTCATCTTGTCAAGCGAGTAAAGAGAATTTTCGGAATCGACAGAACTGAGAGGACGCAAAGTCAACACAAACAGATGGTGGATCTAGCGGGATCCATGAGGTCCCCTCACCAGTTCACGAGGTCAGGCAACTTTCTCTACACCATGGGCCCTGCAGGGTAAAGGGCTGCTACACTAGTATTTCTATAGAATATTCACTGGCTGCTGGGTACGGGCTGCTACTCTAGTATTTCTATAGAACATTCACTGGCTGCTGGGTACGGGCTGCTACTCTAGTATTTCTATAGAACATTTACTGGCTGCTGGGTACGGGCTGCTACTCTAGTATTTCTATAGTTTATTCACTGGCTGCTGGGTACGGGCTGCTACTCTAGTATTTCTATAGAACATTCACTGGCTGCTGGGTACGGGCTGCTACTCTAATATTTCTATAGAACATTTACTGGCTGCTGGGTACGGGCTGCTACTCTAGTATTTCTATAGAACATTCACTGGCTGCTGGGTACGGGCTGCTACTCTAGTATTTCTATAGAACATTCACTGGCTGCTGGGTACGGGCTGCTACTCTAGTATTTCTATAGAACATTTACTGGCTGCTGGGTACGGGCTGCTACTCTAGTATTTCTATAGAACATTCACTGGCTGCTGGGTACGGGCTGCTACTCTAGTATTTCTATAGAACATTCACTGGCTGCTGGGTACGGGCTGCTACTCTAATATTTCTATAGAACATTTACTGGCTGCTGGGTACGGGCTGCTACTCTAGTATTTCTATAGAACATTCACTGGCTGCTGGGTACGGGCTGCTACTCTAGTATTTCTATAGAACATTTACTGGCTGCTGGGTACGGGCTGCTACTCTAGTATTTCTATAGAACATTCACTGGCTGCTGGGTACGGGCTGCTACTCTAGTATTTCTATTAAACATTCACTGGCTGCTGGGTACGGGCTGCTACTCTAGTATTTCTATAGAACATTCACGGGCTGCTGGGGTCACTATCACATTGACCGTCTTTACACCTGAGAACATTCACTGGCTGTTGGGGTCACTATTACATTGACCGTCTTTACACCTGAGAACATTCACTGGCTGTTGGAATCACTATCACATTGATTGTCTTTATACATGAGAACATTCACTGGCTGTTGGAATCACTATCACATTGATTGTCTTTATACATGAGAACATTCACTGGCTGTTGGGGTCACTATCACATTGACCGTCTTTACACCTGAGAACATTCACTGGCTGCTGGGATCACTATCACATTGACCGTATTTATACCTGAGAACATTCACTGGCTGCTGGGATCACTATCACATTGACCGTATTTATACCTGAGAACATTCACTGGCTGTTGGGGTCACTATCACATTGACCGTATTTATACCTGAGAACATTCACTGGCTGCTGGGATCACTATCACATTGACCGTCTTTATACCTGAGAACATTCACTGGCTGCTGGGATCACTATCACATTGACCGTATTTATACCTGAGAACATTCACTGGCTGTTGGGGTCACTATCACATTGACCGTATTTATACCTGAGAACATTCACTGGCTGTTGAGATCACTATCACATTGACCGTATTTATACCTGAGAATATTCACTGGCTGCTGGGATCACTATCACATTGACCGTATTTATACCTGAGAACATTCACTGGCTGCTGGGATCACTATCACATTGACAGTATTTATACCTGAGAACATTCACTGGCTGCTGGGATCACTATCACATTGACCGTATTTATACCTGAGAACATTCACTGGCTGTTGGGATCACTATCACATTGACCGTATTTATACCTGAGAACATTCACTGGCTGTTGGGGTCACTATCACATTGACCGTCTTTATACCTGAGAATATTCACTGGCTGCTGGGATCACTATCACATTGACCGTATTTATACCTGAGAACATTCACTGGCTGTTGGGGTCACTATCACATTGACCGTATTTATACCTGAGAACATTCACTGGCTGCTGGGATCACTATCACATTGACCGTCTTTATACCTGAGAACATTCACTGGCTGCTGGGATCACTATCACATTGACCGTATTTATGCCTGAGAACATTCACTGGCTGCTGGGATCACTATCACATTGACCGTATTTATACCTGAGAACATTCACTGGCTGTTGGGATCACTATCACATTGACCGTCTTTACACCTGAGAACATTCACTGGCTGCTGGGATCACTATCACATTGACCGTATTTACACCTGAGAACATTCACTGGCTGTTGGGATCACTATCACATTGACCGTATTTATACCTGAGAACATTCACTGGCTGCTGGGATCACTATCACATTGACCGTCTTTACACCTGAGAATATTCACTGGCTGCTGGGATCACTATCACATTGACCGTCTTTACACCTGAGAACATTCACTGGCTGTTGGGGTCACTATCACATTGACCGTCTTTATACCTGAGAACATTCACTGGTTGCTGGGATCACTATCACACTGAAAGTCTTTACATCTGAGAACATTTTCTGGCGCCAACTTCAGCTGGTCGAGCGGGTAGACCCAGTCGTAAATCTTACGTGGAACGGGATTTAAACAACGACCAAGGATATGGCAGGCAAGCAGGCCAAACACAGGGCGCAGCTTGTCTTCAGCAGATGTATGGAGGTTAAACTCCCGCCCCCCCCCCCTCCCAATCCACTTGCCCACCCAATCATCCACTCCGATAACCTAGACAGTTTGTGAATACGCAGTCATATTTTTGTGGTACGTGTCATTGTTTTGTCATGGTACGGCTCTCATACCTTTGTCTAAATCAACGCCAAGCGGTCTCCAGCAAAAAGGGGCTCTAAGCTGACTTCGAATTCAGGTATGTTATAATTATGAAACTGGGCTCATACGCCATAGGCCAAAGTCCAAATGTGTTGAATCTGCTGAAACTTCGCATACTTTTACAATTGTCTTTCTTAATTGCTCTTCGTATCTATGGCTCCAACTTCTGTCTGCTAATCCCCCTTCTCTCTTACTCTCTTTCCCTTTCCCTCTCTCTCTCTCCCTCTCTCTCTTCCACACAGCCACTGGTATTATTATCGTGTAACTAAATCATATATATGCCGTCATTGCCTAGACTCTGGAGTCTTGCAGTTGTTTCATGGCTACCCTTCTTTATCCTGGCATCCTGTTGAAAACTTCCCACACAGTGTGCTAATCTATATATGTTATGTCCAGCCGTGTCTATCGCATAAACAACTCTGACACTGACGGAACACACTGACGGAACACACTGACGAAACACACTGACGGAAGACTCTGACGGAAGACACTGACGGAACACACTGACGGAACACACTGACGGAACACACTGACGGAAGACACTTACGGAAGACACTGACAGAACACACTGACGGAAGACACTGACGGAAGACACTGACTAAAGACACTGACGGAACACACTGACGGAACACACTGACAGAACACACTGACGGAAGACACTGACAGAACACATTGACGGAACACACTGACGGAAGTCACTGACGGAAGACATTGACAGAACACACTGACGGAACACACTGACGTAACACACTGACAGAACACACTGACGTAACACACTGACAGAACACACTGACGGAACACACTGACGGAACACACTGACAGAACACACTGACGGAACACAATGACGGAACACACTGACGGAACACACTGACGGAACACACTGACGGAACACACTGACGGAACACACTGACCGAACTCACTGACGGAACACACTGACCGAACTCACTGACGGAACACACTGACAGAACACACAGACATAACACACTGACGGAACACACTGACGGAACACACTGACAGAACACACTGACGGAACACACTGACAGAACACACTGACGGTTGGCTACAGGGTGACGACTGCTGTCGATGGGAATATCACGTTATGTGGGTCAAATCTCTTTCGCGGTGCAACTCTCGTACCTTCCAACGACACACTGACGTCATCATGACTTTAAAACAGCCCTTTGACACAATGGAAAACCCCTCTCAACGCTATTGTTGGTTAATTTTTTC